AAAAAAAAAAAAAAAAAAAACTGCTGCAGTTTTTTCAAAACACCAGTACTATGTTAATGGGGGAGGAATAATTCAAAAACAAAGGATGGGAATGGTTGCATAACTTGAAGAATGTAATCTGTCACTGAATTGTACACGTAGAAATTGTTGAATTGGTGTATGTTTTGCTGTGTGTATTCTCAACAACAATAACAACAAATAAAATAAAATTTAAAAAGAGAGAGAAAGAAACAATAATGGCCAAAACCCCAGTAGGGGGTTGTATGGGTTTTGGCCCTACTGGCCGAAGACGGAACAATGTAAACATCAATAAGAATAACTACCGCAATGGATTAAAATACATCAAATATGTTTAAATCTATGAGTTCATCATGGTACTCAAAAAAAAGACAAAAAACTTCATCAGTCACTTTTGGAGGATACTAGGGAAGCAACTCATTATTTTGAAAACTCTTCTACCAGTTTATCATTTACCCTGCCTTTCCTATGCAAACGGTACCTCACAATAACCAAATTTTTAATGAGGGAAAGTTTCTATTTATAGGTCTTGCACAACTAATAAATGAAGAAGTAATGATAGAATCGAATATCACCTTTTTTTCAACCCTTAATGGAATAAAGTATATAGGCACTTATCATCAAGGGCTGCTAACATCAATAGAAGAGAGATAACCAGACCATATGAGCCTCCTGATGAAAGTACACACCACTTAGGAAGTGTTCTTGCCAAAAAACTAGAGCCCGAATCTGCTCAAGTCTCTAGACCTAACTACAAATTCACAGGCATAACAGCATGGGGATTCAACCAGCAAATTCAGTAAAATGATATCTTGGAAACCCTAAAGGGTTTCTTCAACAAATAACATGCAAGGGTTAAAAAGTGAGAGAGAGAGAGAGAAGAATCCGCAAATTTAAAAAGACACATCAACCAACTGCAATGTAGGAACAACGTTTGGATCCTGACTTAAACAAACTCCTGGGGAAATGAATGTTGACCGAATATTTGATGATATTAAAGTCTTATTGCTAACTCTTTGAACCTTGATAGTAGTGGTGGGTTTGCTGGAGTTTTCTGTTAAGTCCTTACTGGAACATTTACAGATGAAATAATATACTGTCTTAGATCTACTTCAAAATAAACTGGGGTCAGAAAGGAAAATGGGGGATGGGTGTACATGAAACAAGATTGGCCATGAGTTAATAATTGCTGAGTCTGGGTAATAGATATGTGCAGATTCATTTTACTATTCTCTCCACTTTTGTATGGGTTTGAAATTTTTCATAATAAAAAGATTTTTAAAACATACCCCTATCGGGTATATGGAGCCAGAAAGCTGTATTCCTGTAGTTGCCTTCCTAATCTCCACCCATTGGTTTTTATTCTGTCCTCAGGAGCCTAGAAGACCAGTGTCATAGTAAGAGTAGTAATAGTTCTAGTAATATCAGTGATAATAATCAACATCTTTGGAGCACTTACTTACTATGCTCTAAACTCATGCTATGAGCTTTTTATGAAGGTTTTCATTTAACCCCAACAAAATCCTATGATGTAAATACTATTATTATCCCCATTCTACAGATAAGGAACCTGAGGAAGTGAAGCTTGGTAAGAGAGTCAGCCCTCAAAACCAGACCTGACTACAGATTTCCAGTGATAACAATTAGGTTACATCAACACGCAAGGGAAAAAGATGAAGATCACTGTCATGTCCTCAAGTCTTCTCTTCTCTGGGCTAAACAACCTCAACTCTTTCACTCTTTCCCCAGTGACAACACTTCAATGCCCCATATCACCCTTTATACTTTCCTTGGAACACCCTCCAGGAACTATAAAGGTAGTTGACCTTCTTGAAAGTATCTCAAGGTCCCTGTGCAGCAGCTTGCCCCCCAACTTCCACCTCAACTGTGTGGATCCCAGACAACCACTGGCCCTCCTCCAGTCAGACTGGAAACCCAAACATGCTCAGGTCCCAGCGGAGGCATGGCTCACCTGGGCCTCGGTGCCTCTTCTCCATCCAGATGTAGCAGTTGTTCTGGGCCACCCCTGTCTGCGAGTCCAGGAAGGGGAGGCGCACACTGCGCTCTGCACACAGCCGAGAGTTATAACTCCGGCAGTGCTCAATGGCTTCCTTGTAGAACTGGTCCCCAAGCCTGCCAGGAGACAGAGAACAGACAAGTGAGGCCAGGGGAAACTGAAACACACCCAGAGAGCAACTGATGTCACTCACCCACCTCCCAGGAGGATTTTGCAGTTGTGAAGACCAAGGCAATGAGTACCAAGAGCCCTGCCAAGTGGCAGAATGCAAGTCAGTGTCAGGTCTCCATCAGGTCCTGTTTCCTATCCCAAGCCACTGGGAACTTAGGAGCTACTTTAACAAAGAACCTAGGGCCCCAAGAATCAACCACATGTAAACGAAGCAAGTAGGTGCTCTAGGAAGCATGAGGTCCTGCTCCAGAATGGAGGTTGCTCTGAAACTTCAAAAAACAACTGCATAGTAGATCTGCATGGGATCTACTAGGACATCAGGCTTCTCGAGCCTACCCATTGACATCCCCCATTAGCCAGACTTTGTTTCAGTGGTAATACAAGGACTCCAGCAAAGGCACTCTAGAATGAACCCAATCCACCAGCACAGACGCATACATTCCCATTACAGTAGAAGAGACACCCTCCATATAAACAAAGACTGGAAGGACTAGGAAACAGAAAGATTGTTTGATTTGCTAAGGAGTGGAGGGGGGTTGACTTTTTTCTCTTTTATTTTGATCTGTTCATGATCTTAGAAGAGCAGAGAAAAAGAATGGAAAATTTGCTGTTAAAGGACGTTAACCCTATTTTGTTAGTAACTTCTACATCAGCACCTACTTTGAAATAGTAATGATGATGACAGTGATAACAATGACATATACCAAACTCGTTGCTATCGCTTCCAACTCACAGCCACCCTACAGTACAGAGTAGAACCGCCCCATACAGTTTCCTAGACTATAAACTTTACGGAAGTCGACTGTTACATCTTTCTCCCATGGAGCAGCTGGTGGGTTCAAACCTCTGACCTTTTGGTTAGCAGGGCTTAACCACTGCACCACCAGGGCTCCTTCAATTACATATATTCAGGATGTACTCTGTGCAAGGCAAGATACTAAATATTTTCTAGACTTGCTCTTTTGAATGCTTGAAATGTGAGAGGTACTGCAAGTGTAAAATACACGATAGATTTCAAAGACATAGTATCAAAAAAGAGTATGTCAGATATCTCATTAATGATTTTATACAGATTACAGATTGAAATGGTAATATTTTGGATATATTAGTTAATTAAAATGAATTATTAAAATTAAATGATTGTGAGGATGGCATAGGTCTGGGCAGTGTTTCATTCATTGTACATAAGGTTGCTATGAGTCACAACCGACTTGACAGCATCTAACAACAACTAGAAAATTTTAAATTCATACGTGATTTGTATTACACTTCCATTGGACAGCGTTGTGCTAGGCTTTGATTCATTTCATCTTCACAGCAAGCCTTGTCAAGTATCTTTGTTTTACAAATGAGTTAGTAACATGTGCAGGATGTAGCCAGAGAGGGGCGGGATCAGGCTTTCAGCATGGGTCTGACTTGAAGCCCATGGTCTTAACTGCTAGACTATACTACCATGAGCTTGCTTTTACTGATGCATTCACCTCACCCCACTTATATTACAGCTAGTTGTGTCTGTAACCAGGTCCCCTCTTCCAGGACAGTCCATGCCATATTCTTCCTTGCGTCCCCTGAATGCCTGGTTCTTGGTCAGCACTCATTAAGTTTTATTTATCATATAAAAGTAGAACCGAGGGCACTGGTAGTTCAGTGGTAGAATTCTTGCCTCCCATGTGGGAGACCCAGGTTTGATTCCTGGCCAATGCACCTCATGCACAGTGGTAGCTTGTGTATCGCTATGATTCTGACCAGGTTCCAGCAGAACTTCCAGACTAAGATGCCTTGGTATCCTTGGACATACGGTAACACCAATAATTTTAAGTTAGTGTCTTTTTCAAAGATCAAAAATATAAAATTTATCCCAAATGTAAAGCATGAAAATAATCAAGGAGAGCAAATGCCTAATGAATAAAAGACAGGCATGTGGTAGAGGCTAATAAAGTGCTCAGGGAGATACAAATATAATAACATAGCCTCCACTAGGTAAACTTGAGCATCTTAGTGGGGAGGGGGGAGGGGGGAGGAAGGGACAGGAGAGGAAGGGTCACAGGGACTGCAGGGGCAAAAGGGAGAATCAAGAAGCTCATTTTGAAGCAACATTATGAATCTCCCCTTGTTTTGGTTCTATGTACATTTGATGAAGCCAAAAACTGAAAAGGACAGTCTCTAAGTTAAAAATTATACATTTCTTAACCAGAATAGAGGAATAAAGAAGGCAAAGTTTTAAACTGACTTTTCTACACTCTTAAATTCTTAGCATAGACAAATAATCACTTCAAGAGCTGCATCCGTTTGCTGAAACATCTCGACTGATATCGCGTCGATTCCTGGAGCTTTGTTTTTCGCCAATGCCTTCAGTGCAGCTTGGACCGCTGCCTTCAGTACCATCAGTTCCTGATTATATGCTACTTCTTGAAATGGCTGAACGTCGACCAATTCTTTTTGGTACAATGACTCTGTGTATTCCTTCCATCTTCTTTTGACATTTCCTGTGTCGTTTAATATTTTCCCCATAGAATCCCTCACTATGGCAGCTCGAAGCTTGAATTTTTTCAATTCTTTCAGTTTGAGAAATGCCGAGCGTGTTCTTCTCTTTTGGTTTTCTATCTCCAGCTCTTTGTACACGTCATTATAATACTTTACTTTGTCTTCTCAAGCTGCCCTTTGAAATCTTCTATTCAGTTCTTTTACTTCATCATTTCTTCCTTTTGCTTTTGCTATTTAATGTTCAAGAGTAAGTTTCAGAGTCTCTTCTGACATCTATTTTGGTCTTTTCTTTCTTTCCTGTCTTTTTAATGACTTTTTGCTTTCTTCATGTATGATGCCTTGATGTCATTCCATAACTTGTCTAGTTTTCGGTCATTAGTATTCAATGCATCAAATCTATTCTTGAGATGGTCTCTAAATTCAGGTGGATTAACTCAAGGTCATACTTTGGCTCTCGTGGACTTGTTCTAATTTTCTTCAGTTTCAACTTGAACTTGCATATGAGCAATTGACGGTCTGTTCTGCAGTCCGCCCCAGCCTTGTTCTGACTGATGATATTGAGCTTTTCCATCATCTCTTTCCACATATGTAGTCTAGGTGATTCCTGTGTATTCCATCTGGCAAGGTCCATGTGTATATTTGCCACTTATGTTCACGAAAAAAGGTATTTGCAATGAAGAAGTCATTGGTCTTGCAAAATTCTATCATGTGATCTCCAGCATCATTTCTATCACCAAGGCCATATTTTCCAACTACCAATCTTTCTTCTCTGTTTCCAACTTCCGCATTCTAATCACCACTAATTATCAATGCATCCTGTTTGCATAAAAATCTTCAATTTCTTCATCTTCGGCCTTAGTGGTTGGTATGTAAAGTTGAATAATAGTCGTGCTCACTCATCTATGCCAAGAAATTTGGAAGACAGCTACCTGGCCAACTGACTGGAAGAGATCCATATTTATGCCTATTCCCAAGAAAGGTGATCCAACTGAATGCAAAAATTATCGAACAATATCATTAATATCACATGCAAGTAAAATTTTGCTGCAGCAGTATATCAACACAGAACTTCCAGAAATTCAGGCTGGATTCAGAAGAGGATGTGGAACTAGGGATATCATTGCTGATGTCAGGTGGATCTTGGCTGAAAGCAGAGAACACCAGATAGATGTTTACCTATGCTTTATTGACTATGCAAAGGCATTCGATTGTGTGGATCATAACAAATTATGGATAATATTGTGAAGAATGGGAATCTAGAACACTTAATTGTGCTCATGAGGAACCTGTACGTAGATCAAGAGGCAGTTGTTCAGACAGAGCAAGGGGATACCGCGTGGTTTAAAATCAGGAAAGGTGTGCGTCAGGGTTGTATCATTTCACCATACCTATTCAATCTGTATACTGAGCAAATAATCCAAGACGCTGGATTATATGAAGAAGAACAGGGAATCGGGATTGGAGGAAGACTCGTTAACAACCTTCGATATGCAGATGACACAACCTTGCTTGCTGAAAGTGAAGAGGACTTGAAGCACTTACTGATGAAGATCAAAGACCACAGCCTTCAGTATGGATTACACCTCAACAGAAAGAAAACAAAAATCCTCACAACTGGACCAATAAATAACATCATGATAAATGGAGAAAAGATTGAAGTTGTCAAGGATTTCATTTTACTTGGATCCACAATCAACACCCATGGAAGCAGCAGTCAAGGAATCAAAAGACACATTACATTGGGCAAATCTGCTGCAAAAGAGCTCTTTAAAGTATTGAAAAGCAAAGATGTCATCTTGAAGACCAAGGTGTGCCTGACCCAAACCATGGTGTTTTCAATCGCTTCATATGCATGTGAAAGCTGGACGATGAATAGGGAAGACTGAAGGAGAACTGATGCCTTTGCATTGTGGTGTTGGTGAAGAATATTGAATTTACCATGGACTGCCAAAAGAACGAACAAATCTGTCTTGGAAGAAGTACAATCACAATGTTCCTTAGAAGCAACGATGGCGAAACTACCTCTTACTTACTTTGGACATGTTGTCAGAAGGGATCAGTCCCTGGAGAAGGACATAATGTTTGGTAAAGTAGATGGTCAACAAAAAAGAGGAAGACCCTCAATGAGGTGGATTGACACAGTGGCTGCAACAACGGGCTCAAGCATAGCAACTATTGTGGGTGTGGCGCAGGACCGAGCAGTGTTTCGATCTGTTGTACGCAGGGTCGCTATGGATCAGAACCAATTCTATGGCACCTAAACACAACAACATACTGTTAAAAAAAGGCAATGGGTCTGATTCTACTAATGAATTTAAACAAATGTCTTATTCCGGGAGGAAACAACCATTCAGGTTTCTGAGGCATCATTTGTAAATACCTGTTGACATGCCTCCTAAAGGAAACCGTTTTCCTCCTGTTTCACCTCTGAACACCCTCACTATCACAAGAAAGGAGTAATGTGCTCAGAAAGTATCCCAGCAGTTCCAAAACCAAACTGTAATAAACTATAATGGCCACACAGCTGGAAATGAATTTGGAGGGGGGAAGGCATGGATGAAAGCCCATTACAATGCTATAAAACTAAACACACAGAAGCTGATGTAATCAAAGTTGGTAACAATGTCATGAGATTGATCAAAAATAAAGAACCATTTCCCACAAAGTATTTGCATCAGGTGGTAGCATATGATCAAGAACTGATGGTATTAAAGAAGTCCAAGCTGCACTGAAGGCATTGGCAAAAAACAAAGTTATGCCTCCAATAGTTCAAATACCAGCAAGGTCACTCATGGTGGACAGGGTTCAGTAGAGCTTCCAGACTGAGACAGAGTAAGAAGAAAGGCCTGGTAATCTACTTCCCAAAATTAGCCAATGGAAACCTCATGGATCACAGTAGAATATTGTCCAATATAGTGCTGGAAGATGAGCCCCCTAGGTTGGAAGGCACTCAAAATACACAGTGGATGCAACAATGGACTCAAGTAAACCAATGATCATACAGATGGCACAGGACCTGGCAACATTTCATTGTGTTGTACATGGGGTCGCCATGAGTCGGAGCCAACTTAAGGGCAACTAACAACAACAAGGCAATGTAGCTCAGTGTGACTGAGAACTTTCACAGTCGGCTAAACCCAGACAAGATGACACAGCCTGTCCAGGATGTCCCAGGTGCTCTAGCTCCTCTCCACAAATCAACCATGCCACATGGATGAGAACTGACAAGAACACACGGCAGAGAGGCGTCTCATGTGAGAAACAGTGATCTGGTCTCCCATGATCTTTCAACAGACTGCCAAAAAATATGTTAACTATTCCAGCCCCAGAAATTCTGCTGCCAAGAGAACCCATAAAAGGAGATCCTTAAAAAAAGGTGGGGGGGGATGAATTGTACACTAAAAGTCACCCACTGGAGGGAACAGGGTTTCCATTTTCAAAACAAACTTCTAGACTCCAATACTAAAGAAATCCACAGTAGGATCTCAAATAGGACATTTCCTGATATGTTAGTAACCAGCTTCTAGCAGCTCCATTCCGGAAGACAGCAACAAGAACGTGAACTTGCTGAAATGAAAAGTAAGACTGGGCAGTGCCTGTGCCCCCCACCAAATGGAACGAGAAAGTCAAACAAAGTGGCATGCCTGGCGAAAATTAATTTCATCTTAAATACTTTCCACTTTCGTAACATGCAATGTTATTAGTAACAGGGGTGCTGGGGAGAAATGTGTATTTTCAAATGTAATCTTTATGTGAATGATACCTCTCTTAAGTAAACAGAAAAGACTTTCTGCAGACTGGAACAACTGTATTAAAGATGGAAGTGGACGGCAAAAATGTGGCATCCAACACCTCCTCTGACTTCATCTCCAGGGAAGCCACTTTTAAATAGACCGGGTGCTGGCAGAGATTCGGAAATAAAAGTTTAAAGCCTTTCTCAAGATATGGGAAGAGAAGAGAGACTTCAACCCCCTTGATAAATCCAAGCAGCATTTCTCCAAAAGTTAATTAGCCAAAATCTTCCCAGAACTTGCTGCTCTCTCTGGAAGAAAATCAATGGCCAGTTCTCCCTAACCCATGGAAAGCAATTTAAACAGGAGAGAGGACAAACGTCCTTTCCATTATGGTATTTCTACCAAATAGAAAAAATCCCACAGTGATAGGATCCCAGGGGTGACATTTGCATTTAAGTTGCAAGGGGCAGAGGAAACAGGGAAAGGCTGACAGCAAATGACTCATTTTGTGGAGTGGTGGCCCACGTGCCCCAGGCTGGGTCAGGCAAGGCCCAGCCTCAGCCATCACCTGTCGGCACCAAACTGAGGGGGCTAGATTACCCTGGGATGATAGATGTCTTGGGCTTGAAGAAGCTGGCACAAGGCAGAGTAGAATGATGTTCTCATCAACAACTGACTTCAGGCTACTCAAGGCTGCGATCAGAAAGGGGAAAGGCAAGGAGAACAAATTGCTGAACTCTCCGTGAGAGCCAAGAAGGAGATGTCATGGCCTGCTGGTTGGAGTAGCACTGGCTGCCTGGCTCCAGTGGGGGTAGACTGGGGGATGAGGGAGTCCCCTTTGTGACCCTACCTGGACTGAGGGAGCCATCTTAGCTCTGGGAGCTTATCCTTGGAGAGAGAAATTCCAGAGGGTGAAAGAGGATTCTGAGTGAAAAAACAGGAGACTTCTCCAAAATTACTGCCAACTAGGCTCCTCCAAAAGGGGACAAGGGTAGTTCAGTTGTAGAATACTCGCCTTCCATGCAGGAGACCCAAGTTTGAATCCCGACAAAGGGAACTCATGCACAGCCACCACTTGTCTGTTAGTGGAGGCTTGTGTGTTGCTATGATGTCGAATAGGTTTCAGCAGAGATTCTAGATTAAGACGGCCTAGGAAGAAAGGCCTCGCGACCTACTTCTGAAAATCAGCCAACAACAACAGGCTGTGAATGTGATTTTCAGAACCCATCACCCCCTCCAAGACATTCTGTCCTCTTCCTTACACATCCAACCTCCCTCTCGGGACCTCATCCACTCTCTCAGTTTCTACATCCACAGCTCTGAGCTCACTCCCAGATCCAAATCTCCAGCCCAGGCATCTGAGGATCTTCCCTCTTCACTGTCTCTCTGGCTCTGTATTCTCACCCAAGGACAAGTGTCCTGCCATACCTCAAACACATGTCGAAAAGCAAATTCCTCATCTTCTGCTGGAAGCCTGCTTCCTTCCCAGGGTCTCCATTCTTCTAAGGTTGGGGGCAGCAGAGGGGGCTGAGGGAACACTGTTCTTGCGTCTCCCTGGCAAGTTGTCCTTGACCCTCCCCTTTCCTTCATCCCACCTGGCACTGAGCTCTTTCATTTCTCAGCAAGTCATCCTTTTCACTGGATTCCCACTGCTGCAGCCACAAGTCCCCTTTTGCTATAAAAACAGGACCTTGGCCCATCACTTCTATTTGTTCACATGTGCAGAGATTAGCAGAGATACAGAGAAGCTTGGCCTGAGGACAGATTTCTGGCTCCTCCTTCCCCCCAGCACCCCCTCTTCTTCTCTGTGGGCACCTGGTTTTCCTGCTGTCTCACTCAGCTGCCCACACTTCCACAACCGCCCACAAACACAGTAAAACTCATCTACACCGATATGCTAACTTCCCGCTATTTGCACTTAAATGTTTAGCTCCGATTATTGCATGGAAAGCCATATACGCACGGAAAGCCGTCTCCGTTATGTTGTGTTTTATTATAACTAGCAAGCAGGGCAATATTTGGCAAGGTGAGGAAACTTCATTTTTCCTGAAGCTGTACTATTCCTAAAGCCATTCTTGAAAGAAAACCGGGCTGCATGTATTAGGATGTTTACAACTGGAGAGGGCAATGCAGAGGCATCACTAGGGTTGATGTCACCCAGTGCAGTAACTCATGGTGTCACACCCCTCCTCCCAGCGGGGCAGGGGGCAGGGGGGAGAGGGGAAGGAGTGGGCGGTGCCCAGCAAACCTCCCCTACAGGGGGGCCCGTCCCGCCTCCCCACAGCAGGGCCACTTGTCACAATGGCAGCCCATCCCTCCCAGCCCTGTGGCTGCCCGCAGCTCCTCCCCTCTCCCATTGGCTAAGGTGGAGACCTTCCTTTCCACCCAATGGCGATGCCGCAGCCTGACCACCTACACCCTGACTTGAGGGTGATGGGAGGGGTGGGAGTGACGAGTTACCACACTGGGGGACAGGTGACACCAACCCTAGTGATGCCACTGCCTTGATGGCCCCTCCCCAATGACACTGGCCCTGCACTGCCACCTCCACAGATCCTGGGGTCATGTTGGTGTCACCCCCTCTGAAAGTGTCAGGGGGTATGGACACACCCCCCTAGTGAAGCCACTGGGGCTACAGAGGATGGGTGAGGGAGATTCAATCCCCTTCCTCCTTCATTCTATCCTCTTCCAACAATGACAACAAGAGTAGTACTACTAGTAAGGTCAGTTTCAACCCAATTCAATGTTTAATATTTGTCATCCCTACCAGGCGCTCCTTGGAAACCATATGGGGCAGTTCTTCTCTGTCCTGTAGGGTCACTATGAGTCAGAATCAACTCTACAGCAATGGGTACTAGACTATAAGGAGCCCTGGTGGTGTAAGGTTAAGCACTCACTCAGCTGCTAACCTAAAAGTCGGTGGTTCGAACCCACCAGAGGCTCCATGATGTGCTTAGGTAAAGATTGTTGCTGTATGCCAGTTGAGGTGATTCAGACTTAGGATGACCTTATATGACAGAGTAGAACTGCCCCATAGGGTTTCCTAGGCTGTAGTCTTTACAACATACCATAGAATTAGTTTATTCTATTACTCTGTTATTCCTCCATTCTGAACTTTGCAAGAAGCTCACTGAATACTCTACTGTACTGCCACCAGACCCACCCAGGAGGGCTAGCTCTTCCTCTCCTAATGCAGGAAACACTCCTTTCGTGCTTATCAAGAACGCCACCATCTTACTTCCCAAAAGAATGACCTAGGGCTGTGACTCTCAAACTTTGGTTTTGCTAGAATCATTGGGGAGGGAGGTGGGCATGAAATTCTGATTCTGGAGGTTTGAGATGAGATATGGACATCCGTATTTTTGACAGATCCTTCAGTGATTATGAGAAATGTGAGACTCACTGATTTAGGGATAGCTCCCCACCTCCAAAGCAAGAACTTGAACAAGAGGACTTTGTGATGCTCCTCGACCACCATGTTTCAATTGCAGGGCTGGAAAGCCCAGTTAGTTTTCTTTGTTTAACCCAGCTAGTCGTGTTCCTATGGGAAAACCTTTATTCAGGCAGCTGGCATGGATTAACCTGGAAGCACCAACATGTAGCAGACTATTCCCATGAAAGTTCTTACCCCTAACAAAATGTCCATGAGACTTGGTCAATGCAAATGAATGAAGAACACGGTGGCATCATTAGAATGGTCACTCTGGAGGTGACTCTGACCTTCAGAACAGGAAGGGCCCAGTGAGGACAAGGGTATTGCCTTGCAAAAGCCAAGACCAGCAAAGAATTTGAGCCTAAAACTCCCGTTATGACTAAAATGCCACTCAGTCTGATGTTCAGGCCCACTAGACCCAATAAATTCCTTTGCCAGCACCTACTCTGGTGAAGACTTTTCAGGGACTTATTATGCAAAGCTGCCTAAGCAAGACGGGATTTATATTGAACCTGGCCATGATTCCTGAGCTGCCACTGGGTGTTCTGATGACATACGCAACTCAGGGTTGAAGTCAAGGGGCTGCCAAGGACAGGAGGCTGGAGGCAGGAGAAAAGCAGTGTGATTCCTTCAGGTAAATAATGGCAGGGAGTGGGTGGGAAAGGGGACGCTTAGGGGAGGAAAAAGACTTGGCTTCTCTTGTATCCAAGGTTTGCCTTTCAAATGGCATCCAGACGTGACAAAATAAATCTCTGCTATGGAGGCTAAAGAATGTGTAGGATGCACAACTTTCAAAACCGGGGGTTGGGGGGTTGATGGAGATTGCTGTATCTAGGGTGAATCAGTGAATCTTACCTAGAAAGAAAACACACACCCATTACAGCAACTTCATTGATTGAGAAAGTATTTTTAGTTTCCCTGGTTCATACACAGAGTCCTTACTGAAACCCCAGCTATAAGCTGGGCACCAGGATGTTGTCCCCTGGGGGTAACTGTCAGTAGAAGCAGACCATCAATTAGAGACAATTCTTAGACAAACAGATCCTCAGACCCCATCTTTGCTGCTGAAATACAAGGGCCTCAGTGCTGCCCTCCTCCAGTAAAGGGAATATTGGTCTGGCATTTAAAACTCAGCCACAAAAGCACATATTTTCCTGTAGTTAATTCTTTATATATCTTTATAAAATGGAATTCAGACCATGATATTCTCCTCCTTAGATCCTTCCAATGGCCTCTCGCTGCACTCAGAATAAAATCCAAACTCCTTCCCACGGCTATGGGCTCCCAGATTGTCTGGCTGTGCCCACCTTTCCTGCTTCATCTTGTCCCTGTTCCCCTTGCACACTGGACTCCATCTTCACTGCACTTCTCTCTGATCATCTGATATACCAAGATCCCCTCACCTCAGGACCTTTGCATTTGCTATTCCTGCTACCCGGTACACACTTCTCCCAGATTGTTTCATGCCTGGCTTCTCCTCAGCAAAGTCTTCTTTGACCAACCCTACCTACAGTAGCTACCCCCGCCCCACTCCTGCCCTATCCCTTGCTAGCTCATTATCCTATTTTATTTTTTTTTTAATTTGTTTCTTTTTGTTGTTGTTATTGAAAACATACACAGCAGAACAGTCACCAATTTAACAACTTCTACATGTACAATTCAGTGACATTGATACATTCTTCAAGTTGTGCAACCATTCTCATCCTCGTTTTTCAAACTGTCCCTCCCTCATTAACATAAACTTACTTCCCCCTGAGTTTCCTATCTAATCTTTTGAGTTGCTGTTGTCAGTCTGATCCCATAAAGATAGTTCTTTAAAAGAGCACAAGGCTCAAGGCAGACATTCTTTACTAATTAAGGTAAACGCTTGTTTGGTTTAAAGAATACTTTAGGGGATGTTTTTGGTCTAAGGCTTAAAGATTATCTCAGGGCAATAGTATTAGGGACTCATCCAGCCTCAATGACTCCAGAAAGTTTGAGTTCCATGAAAATTTGAAATTCTTTTCGTATTTTCCCCCTTTTGATCAGGACTCTTCTATAGAATCTTTGATCAAAACACTCAGTAATGGCAGCCAGGAACCACCCAGTTCTTCTGGTCTCATGGTAAAGGAAGCAATTAGCCACACATTCCATGTATTCCTCCTATTCCTGACTCTCTTTCTTCCTCTGTTGCTCCAGACGGGTTTTTTTTGTTTTGTTTTGTTTTGTTTTGTTTTGTTTTTTAATAACACCACTATCATTGCATTGGGTAAATTTGCTGTCACTTTGATGTCACTGTGATGACTAAGGTGAACCTGACTCAAGCCATGGTCTTTTCAATCACCTCATATGCATGCAAAAGCTGGACAATGAAAAAGGAAGACAGAAGAAGAAATAATCCTTTCAAACAGTGATGTTGGCTAAAAATATCGCATATACCACAAGCTGTCAGAAGATCAAACAAACTAGTCTTTGAAGAAATACAACCAAAATGCTCCTTAGAAACGAGGATGGCAAGACTTCAGCTCACTTCCTTTGGACACATCATCGGGAAAGACCAATCGCTAGAAAAGGACATCATGTTTGGTAAAGCAGAGGGTTGGTGAAAATAAGGGAACCCTTCAATAAAATGGATTGACACAATGGACACAACAAAGGACTGAAACACAGCAATGATCATGAAGATGGCACGGGACCGGGCAACATTTCATTCTGTTACACATAGGTCACCGTGAGTCAGAGCTGACTCAACACCACCTAACAACAACATTACTATTTAAAATTCTATTTTCTCTTTGCCTACTGTTAATACCAGCTAAGTTGTAAGCACCACGAGAGCAGAGTCCTTGTCTCTCTTGTCCATAAATGTATCTTCTGCACCTAACTCAGGATTTAGCACATAGGAAATGCTCAAATATATCACCGAAAAAATGAATGAACAGATAGACCCTTCTCACCCTTGACAAGGGTGAATATACCTGCATGCAATCAACAGTTTGGATCACGTGGGAGACTAGCCTCTGAGAGGGCAAGAAGGTAAGTGCTGGTGGGAGGCCGCCAGCACAGGGAATAGGAATCTCTCCATTTCCT